ACTTTCTTCAAAAGAAACCCATTTTGGTGTCAATGGAAAAGTTGTAGAGAATCAATAATTAAGCTTATATCCAAATTTTCAGAACGATTCAAAAACTGGTTTTCAAGAAATGTCAAATTTACGAATTTTCACAAAACTTGCATTTTAAGCGAAACTACTAAGTGTATCTTTTTGGAAATTTGGCTATAAGCCTAACTTTTGATTCTCTACAACTTTTCTATTGACACCAAAATGGGTTTCTTTTGAAGAAAGTGCTCAAACTGGAACATCTCCAGTCCTCGATTTTTGAGTCTCACACTTGTCTTACACACAAACCAAAATCCTACTAAGAAAGAGGAATCCGCAATTTGCCTGTAAAATGGGCAGAAGTCGTTAATAAAAATGAAAATTATTTGGAATGAATTGGTGGTTCTATGTTGAATAAAGTTTAGTTCAAAGTCCGGCAGTTTTCAATTCACCAACCCAATAGAATAAATCGGTTAAGGGTTTAAAATGACAAGAAAATGAAGCTTTAGAGAGCTCTAAAGCTCCATTTTCTTTTCATGATCCTTAGTACTTCGGGAGTTTCAAAATTCAAGTCAGATTCTTTAGGGTCAAACTAAAATTTGCTAATACCGAGGATTTGTGGCTAGCTATCTACTAGAAATGGGAAAATTCCACCTTCATTTTCTCAGCCATTTCTTGGCCAATTGTTTTGGAATTTTGTCTACAAATAGAAATTGGTTTGTAGACAAAATTTCAAAACAATCGGCCAAGAAACGGCTGAGAAAACGAAGATGGAATTAGGTTCGGCTTGGAATTTTCCCATTTCTACTATCTACCATATGTTTTTAAAGCGCAAAAGCTCAAGTAAATCTAGAATTTTTAAGATAACTAGAGGCTTTATTGGTTTCATTTTCTACGTTTTAGTCCTTTCATTGGGTTTATTTTTATTAAATGGATCTATTAGATCGTTTAGATATGTAAGCCTATGCCAGACTTTTATAGTTGTAGTTGTAGTTGTAATCATAGTTGTAGTATTGTAGTAATGTAGTAAATGTATCTTTAACTATATAGTGCAAGGCTTCACCAATGGTATCATCTTGACTTCTTGGGTAAACGTTTCCTTAAAAGTGATGGGCTTACTCTGGAGTAAAAGGAGGATTCTTTGAGATCTTTGGGATCTTTGGGAGATGTCTCTCTGATTGTATTACCGGGGTTGAGATGTCATCAAAGAGTGTTGAGGGGGGCAAGGGGAGTGGTATTCTGGGAGTAGGTGAAGGGAGAATCCATCCTCCTGATAGGACCCACACGGCGGAAATTGGGTTTCAAGAGCCACACCGAGAGTCCAGAGTCAATCCCAGCACCCCACAGCTTCCCCCTTCGATCTTCTCCCAGTCGAGTTTTCTGGGCCGGCCTTCAATTGAGTTGTCTTCTCTCTACCGTAGTCTTTTTTGGTTTTGATTTATTTCTTGATATATTCAAAACTTTTCTTGTCCTGTCATCTTAAAACTTTCCTAAATAAGAATTGTGGTAAGTTGATAAGCTAAGCCAAAGAAAACTAACTTCAGAAAGTTCAATTGAAAGAGAAAAACATTAAGAAAGTTTAATTTTTGATTTGAAAATAAACAAATAATAGTTTTAGGTTTTTATACTGCTAAGGTTTAGGCTAAGGTTTAGCTTTGACTTGGCCTAAAGATTTGACTCTTAAAGCTAACTCTAGCCAGAAGTCCCATCCGCTAGTCGATCGGATCCAATTTTCTTCCGTCCAAAATTCAAAATCATTCCCATAGCGAAGCCAAATCAAGTCTACTAGCAATTTACTCAATCACTACTCTATTTTCCCAACCTCAGACCTTACGTTGATGGATAATGGGACTCCAATATTCACCGAAACAGGAGTCACTCTCGGGGCATTGCAGGCATCCTTTTCTGGGAGACGACAGATTAACGGATCTCTTCTCCGCCACTAGACACCTTCAGTTGGGAGATGGAAGGGGAAAGGATGGGGCTAATGAGGCCGCTTACCCCCAGGAGAGGTCTCTTGTCGTCTCCCGATCTCCCCAACTCACAAGTTGGGGAGCTCTGTGATTCCAGAGAGTACTCCAGGTTTTTATATTTTATTTAAGTTTTTATCTATAGCTATTCTAAGTCATGCAACTCACGAAATCCAAGGGGAAATTTAATCGGAGAGATTTTGCCTTGTGCCAAGCCAAATCTTGGCTTTGCTAAGGTTTAGCTTGTGCCTGTTTAGCTTTTGTGCCTTAGCCTTGAGCTATAGTAATCTCATATAATGAAATTACTATAGCTGGGACATGAAAAGGATTTGGAAGAGTTAGAAGAATAGAGTATTGAAGTTGAAGAATTGAATTGAAGAATTTGAGAGCCTTTCTATTAAATTACGGTAATTCAAACTTACCAAGACAATTAATCTAGCTGATTACGGTAGTCTTTAAGAATTCATTTATCGATACTACTATTAGATTGGCTGGAAAGAGATATAGTTTTTGATAACTATAGCTCTTTTTCCAATCTTCAATTTAGCAAACAACTCTGGGGAAATCTCTGTGATTCCAAAAGTCCGCTCCTTTCCCTTTTCAGCGATCTCTCCACTCGTCTCCAATTCCGTGTGTCGCCTGTTGGCATTCGAGAACAGCTATTAACCAATCTCTTTCTCTTTTGGCTTCTTTTTGGTTGAACCAACCCAGTCTAAACACACAAATTGAGAATCCCGAAGTTCAGGAGGCTTTCCTGAATACGGTAGCCAGTTTTCTTTAATTAAAGAAAGGTCGATAAATACTCTAATAGAACGCCAGTCCCATAATGGACGTACACTCGCGTAGTCTAACTTTGAACGTCCCATTCTTCACGCTGCTTTAAGCTACAGTCTATGCTTTGGTGTCAAATAATAGCCCTTGAAATCTAGTATTTCTTGATACCGAAAGCGTAGCTGGAAAAAGTCTAGGAGCTGAGAGAGAAACGATTTTCTAGAAATTCACACTTAGATTACGATTACGATTAAGATTCCGCGAATGTACGAGAAAGTGGTGTTCTATTAGAGTATTTGCGGTAACTTAAAAGCAAACTGGTAACTTTTGGCAAATCATTTCTTTTCCAGAATCTCTTAATATTCAGAATCTGGTTTTCGCAAAGAAAACTTCTCAAAGATTTTCCAGATTTCTCCAAGTTTCAATCCAAGTTTTCAAATTCATTTTCCCATTTTCCCATTTTCCCATATTTTCCCACAAATTGATTCATTCCTTTGCAATTCAACTACTCCATATTTTCCCAATCAACATTTCAGCTTTCCTCAAAAACTAACTACCACATTTTGACAAAACCCAAAAATTCTCACCAATACACCGCTACAATTCGGTTACCAAACAATCACGGAATGCGATTTTTTGCACTTTCCGAGAAATCCGGAAATTCATACAATACCAATACCAAAAATAAGCCTCATTTGGAAAGGAATTTCTTCTTCTTCTTCTTGAAATCTATTGGAATCCAACAAACCGGATAAATCACTCCAATTAGCGGTTGGTTGGAAGAAGAGAAGATAGAGAAATGGGAAGAGGAAGGGGTAGAGGCCAAATCTGCTCATCTTTTCTTCAGCAATTAGAAATAAAGTAGTTTTATAAGTTGCTCTGCTCATTACAGTAAGTATTATTAGGTATTTTTTGTTTGTTTAAAAAGAAACAGATCAAAGACAGGAAAGAAAATGGTTTAAATCTTTATAAATAAAATGAAATTTGCTGCGAAATGTAGATTCTCTGTATGTAGATATCATTCTTTTTCTTTTCTTTCAAATCCTCAAATTCTAAAACCTTCCAATTACCTAGTTTCTTTGAAATTCATTTCATTTTCTCGATTTATGTGCAAATGAAATGGCTTATTGCTTTCTGTGCTTCTTTTGTTTTGAATGGTGTCAATTGGGCTCACAAAAATTGCTTATTTCACCGCTAAATAGCTTTCGTTTTGCTTTAAAACACCAGCTTTATAAGCTTTGAGTCAAAAATTTGCTTTTGCTTACATTTCCAAAGATTTTCCACTGCTTACTGCTCGAAATTAGCCTACTTGAGCTAATAGTGAATTAAGATTTTCACAAAATAGCAGCTTTGGTAGAATCACAAGGGAAAGGCACCGAGTTAAACTGGCTTTTTGACTCAAAACTAAGTTCATCTAGAATCCAAGCTTAAATCCGTTTTTAGCCTTTGCAGAACGTTTGCCTTATGAGGCCTGATCAAGCCCTATGAGGCCTGATCAAGTCCTATGAGGCCTGATCAAGCCCTATGAGGCCTGATCAAGCCCTATGAGGCCTGATCAAGCCCTATGAGGCCTGATCAAGCCCTATGTGGCCTGATTAGGAGCTCGAAATTCAAGGTGATTTTCTATGCCAAATTTGGGATATTTGACATAGAAAATCACCTTGAATCGAGCTTCTTATGAGGCCGTTACAGGCCTCCCGGGGGCTCGAACTTCGGTTGAAAAATGTAACCCATTCGGCAGTCTAGCAGACTATCCACTAGACCACTGAAGCAGTTGTTAAGGGAGCGCTTGGCGGTTATGACAGACTAATTTTAACGAGAGTAGGACTCGAACTTGAGGGCGTGACAAGTTCGCTAGTCTAGCAGTCTAGCAGCCTAGTAGTCTAGCAGTCTAGCAGTCTAGCAGTCTAGCAGTCTAGCAGCCTAGCAGTCTAGCAGCCTAGTAGACTATCCACTAGACCACCGAAGCAGTTGGTGAGGGTAAGCAGTTGGTTTGGCGGCTTCTTAACGAGGCAAAAGGTCAGTTTGACTCGGTGCCTTTCTCTTATCAGAACTTGTCCAACTAGTAACTCTTTTGCACAATTTTGAATGTTCCAGGAAGATTCAGGTTTACGTTCTAATGCTCAAAGTACACCAAATCAGGGAATAAAAGCCTATTCACTGTTAGCTCAAATTCTCTATCACCTCATTAACAGATTTCATTGACTTCCAGGCCGGTGTCGGGTTTTTTCACTGTTCTCAGCCAAATCACTCATGCCGACCACTTGCGGTTTCCCGAATTGCAAATTCCGCTCGAGATATCGAGGCCAAGAGGACAATCGACATTTCTATCGAATCCCGAAGCGGCCGCTTGTTTTGCGGCAACGCTGGCTGCACGCAATCGGGAGAACCGAGGAAACTGTTGTCAGCCAGGTTTAGAGAAGTTTTGCTTTGGTTTTGCAGTTTTGCTTTTGCACGGCTTTGCACTAGCGATATTTTCAGTCGATTCGTCGATAGGTTTACAACGGAAATTCTTAAGAGCTTTAAAATCGACTTTTTCAAACGTTTTTTTACCATAGGATAGCATTTTACAAGTTCCATCTTATCGTTCGGTAGAGCCAACGATAAAAACGTTTGAAAAAGTTTCTTTTAAAGAACTCAACACGTGAATTTCCGTTGTACACCTATCGACAAATGGACGAAAAACGCATCTGTCTACTTTGCACCAATTCTTAGTATCAAGATCGAAATTTTGACTTATTTTTGTTCAACCATTGTCTTTTCAGAGGATTTTCTATTATAGTTGATAGAAATGAAAACAAATCTTAAAGATAAACTGAAAAAATTGAAGATTGTAAGGCAAAATTTCAGCTTCGAATCTGTTCGGCACATTTCGAGGGTGGAGAGAAACGGGAAGGTGACATTCCAGTCCCAGATCCAACGGTCAGTTTTAAGCTTTATCTAGGAATTGCTTTGACTTTGTTTTCATTCAGAATATCGTAAAAGCTTTAATAGAAGAGCCTGCAGGAGCGTCGCGTAGTCGCAAGAAAGCTCGACTAGCTCGACTACGACTAAGCAAGGAAAGGTCAATTGGATAGGCTGGTCAAATGGCGTTAGCCATAGACCATTTCGGTACCATTCAACGCAGAATTTTGCGCTGATTCCGAATCTGTTTTCCGTTTTTGCTAAACGGCACTCTATCGAAAGTTATAAGCTTGCAAAGTTTTGTAATGAGTACAAAAAATCAACCTTAAATTAGACCTTAAAATTGGACTGTTCAGATAAGGGAGCAGTGTAGGGATGACCGAGTGGTAGAATCAGTTAGAATACCAGACAAGACCTGCCGAGTTCAAATCAGGTCGTTGACTTTTCGTACTTTTTAGGTTTAAATGGCTTTTGTCTTCCTTATCTCCGCACACAATCGTACCGAAGTTAGCACACCACAAATACCGATACAAATCAATATTTTTGTAGAAGAAACGGCTAACAATAGCTGGTTTGAAGCCAAGAACGCACAAGCCATTTAGACTTAACAAGTAAAACAAAAAGACAGCCGACGGATTCGAACCCGCAAGGTCTCGCCTTGTATTCGAACCTACTACCACTCGGCCAGCCATGCGCCTTCGTTGCCCTGAAAAGTCGGGTTTTAAGGTCTACATTTGATTTTTGAAACTCCTTACAAAAACGATTTTTCATCATTTTTCAACCATTTTGTTCTAAGCGCTGGTTAATGCTAAAAATATATTTTTTATCTCAAAAAATCACCCATCTTCTCTACTTTAATTTGATACCTAAGCGCGCAGAAACAAACGTATTGGTATCGAGATATAAGCGTTTATTTGAGAGTGAACTTAAACTACGCGACGCTTTTATAAGGGCTCTTCTATTAGAATATTTACGGTAAATTACATTGAACTTTAGACTGATAAGCAGCTCTCGATCCCTTTGCCACCAAAAGAGCCAAAGACGAGTCAGGAGAGACGACGTGTTCGAGTCAGTCCACCGATTCCACGAACACTCGTCCCACGAAAGAGGATACTGCCCGACCTTTTTGGACACATACAAGCCGCTCGATCGGGTAAGTGCAAGAATGCACTACAGTGCGGTGTAAAACCATACGCCACCACCTAAGTTTCAATTTTCAGACTCCCGTGAGCCTTTGCCAGAGGCAGATTTAGCTTTTAAACAAGATAAAAAGTATGAAATGACACCAAAATTTGGGGGGTGGCGTATGGCTTTTTGCACCGGGTGAATTTTCGTTTTTGGTTTTTACATTTTCCCTATTCATGCTATGTCGATGATTTTTGGGGTTAAGGGTTATTTTTTTATCCTGAATCTAACTACATTTTCAATTTTTTTTGGTCACTGGCACGGGAGCCGCAGAAAATTGAAATTTAGGGGGTGGCGTATTGTTTTGCACCGCACTGTATTAAAGCCAAACTGTGTCCCGTTATAAAACTAGGTTTGCTAGCAATTTTGGTCTAGCAACAGTTCTGGTTCTTTGGCTTTCACCTGGGTGTCGTCGTTGTTTGATACTCAGGTTTCAACCACCAAGATGCCTCAGTTGTTGTCGTTTCTCACCAAGCTTTTGTCGTTGTTGTTGTTTCCCAATATTTTGTCGTTGGCCTCATCCACCAAGCCATTCTACTTCCGGGTCTCTGGAGCTGAAAAGCTGCTTTGCTCTGCTTTGCTCTGCTTTGTTTTGCTTTGCTTTGCTTTGCTTTGCTTTGCATTGCTTTGCATTGCTTTGCATTGCTTTGCATTGCTTTGCATTGCTTTGCATTGCTTTGCATTGCTTTGCATTGCTTTGCATTGCTTTGCATTGCTTTGCATTGCTTTGCTTTGCTTTGCATTGCTTTGCTTTGCTCTAGATGACCTAGTAAACTAGTAATGTTTTTTTTCACACAATTTCAATCTTTACATCTTTAACATCACTCTTTACTCATTTGAATTCATCTTTTTACTGAAGTTTTCTTATTTCTGTAACCCAGCTGCATGCACTTTAAGGATCAATTCATTGACAAATTGCGGTGAAAAGAGAAAAGAAACTTTTTTTCTAAAGAAATTCCCTCTATCCTATAAAAACAAAGATTATAATTGAAATTTAGTTTGCTACGGTTTAGTTTATTATAATTCTTATTGGTAAAGAGCCTGGGAAAGGATAAAAATGTCTATTTAATGATAATAGTAATGATAAATTACTATAGAAAAGTATAGAAAGATACTTTTCGAAAAGGAAACGGGAATATCATTCGAAATGGAACTGTTCTCCAGAGAATTTCCAATTCCCCTCTTTATCCTTTGGGGGATCTCGATGTCAGAAGCGGATTCACCAGCCGGATTTCCCGGGGATTTTTCCCGGATCAAGACTATTGCCCAAATTGCCGTGTCGTTTTTAGAATTTGCCCAGGATTTTGCGTGATTTTTCTCTCGAAAATCGAAATTTTCTCATATTTATTTCCATTTTTAGCCAAGTGATTGACCTTCCATTTGTCCTTTTTCAGGATTTTTTCATCAACGAATATAAGGTTCATTTCTCCATTTTGTAGATTGAGTTCTTCGAAAATCACACACGCTTTTTTTCCCATGATTCCCTTGGACTCTTATTTGACAGTTTATAAAAAGACTTATTTTACTTATTTTAATGATTTTACCAAATTCAAAACAAATCATTGAACTTGAATAGAATAGAATTTTTGAGATTGAGAATCATGAGAAAAGCTGGAGAAGACGGGAAATAACAAGAAATTTGTAGATCACACATAGAATTACTGACTTATTTACTTATTTTTCAAGCTCTTTCTGGTTCATTTTCAAACTGAAATCGGTTTTCTGGCTTTTTTTTGATAGATTTAAGCTTTAAGAGTAACATTTGAATAATTCTTTAAGTTGTGTTTGAATAATAAGTCATTTGATGTCATTTGAGTCACTTGTTAAAGATCTTAAAGCTAGCTTTTTCTCATAATTTTAAGCTCTTTTACAAATCAGCTAAATCGGCTACAAATCAGCTAAATAAAACTGTTTGAATAAAGCCAACAGATAGATGTGGAAACAATCTTGAAAATTAAATATATTTAACTCAGATCTACCAATACTTGAATAAGAATCTTTCAAGAGTTAAGAGCTAAAAGCTTGATTTGATTAGCTCTGGCTTTTTTCCAGCGTTCCTTAGCTCTGGCTCTGTTTCCTCTTTCATTTACCTCATCCAATTAGGTGGAAACTAAACTTGAAAGATTCTTATTCAAGTATTGGTAGATCTGAGTCAAATATTCAGCTGACTGAGTAGAAAGTGAAAGATTCAGCTGACAAATATATTCAGCTCAGAATCTAGTTGTTTAACAGGTAAATATCTCGGTCATTGTTTATTTTGATATGCGCAAATTTTTGAGCTTCTTCAACGTATCGATTTTTCCTTTTTCAACGATTTTTCCTTCTTCAACGTATCCATTTCCTAAATCTATAAGATTACAATCCTTTTTTCAAATTTTTGTTCCAAAGAAAAGAATCCTTTACGAAATTTGTTAAACTATTAAAAAGATCTATAATTTCTCTACAAAATTTCTTTTAAAAGAAAGCTCAAAGCCCGTCTTAACTCGGTAAACACACATTTTTCTCTAAAATTTTCAATTGTTGTTTTTAAAATAATGGCTAAACGGATCGTTTTCAAATTTTACAGACTTATGTAATCAGATGAGCTCTATCTTTTTTACTTTAACACCAAAATAGGTTTATCTTAAAGAAAGTGTTCAAATTGAGCATCGGATCCAAATTGTCGAAATTGAAGTTTTGGGTACTCGTCTTTGAGCCTTTGAAAATTCACAAAAATAGCTATTCCAAAGAACTTCCTAAAAGCCATTTTGCAGAGAAACAATCAAGCTTTTTAATAGTTTAAATATAAATTTTGTTAGTGGTATTATTTTTAAAAGTGGTTTGAAAGAAAATTGTAAAGATTTATGCACCACTCTAATACAAGCGCTTCTAACTTGCTTAAATCTACTGGATTGACATGATCTGTAGCTTAAAAAATAGAGAACCTCAAGAGCTTTCAAATGAACTAAAGCACACCTAAAAATATCAATTCTAAAGAAAGTTATAGTCTTTTGTAGTCCTGACTAGAAACGGACCGTTATTCCAAAAATAGTTATTCCAAAGAACTTTCTAAAAGCCATTTGGCAGAGAAACAATCAAGCTTTTTATTAGTTTAAATATAAATTTTGTTAGTGGTATTATTTTTAAAAGTGGTAGTAAAAACTGGAAAATCATCTTTCTGGAGCACTCAGTTAGGCGACGGTGCTACAAAAAGCATTGAGTATGCCGGAATGAGTTTGTTTAGAGAATTTTGAAAGTATTACTATTATAAACCAGATTTTGACTCACTTGCTAGCAATTCTTGTAACGGATTTATTCAGCTCTCATTGAGTGAACAGACAGGAATGTTTTTCTATATTCTATAAAGTGGTAGTAAAAGAAAATTGTAAAGACTTTAAAGGAACCAAATAGGAACTTTAAAGGAACCAAATAGGAACTTTAAAGGGACCAAATAAGAACTATAAAGGAACTATAAAGGAACTATAAAGGAACTATAAAGGAACTATAAAGGAACTAAATGGGAACTATACTGTGGGCTAATGGGCTGACTGACCAACCTCAGAGCTCTTTGAATTTGAAATGTTTATATTCTTTATTTAGATTAAGCTAAATATTCTTTAAATCGAGAACAATCAGTTGATTCTCTGTTGAACAATCAGTTGATTCTGTATTCAACAAGTTATCCAAAGTCTCTTGAAGTTTCAAATCCTCAAAGTCATTTGAATTTGAACTTGAAGTCATTTGAATTTGCCTTGAATAGCTAATCAGTTTGCAATACGCTTTCAAATTCTCAAAATGTGCTGTGTCCATTTGAAATGTCTAAATGCCTGGTCCATTACACTCACCCATTCGTATGGGGGTTTCATTTTCCCTTTCATCGGGGGGTGAAGAAGAGGCGCTCTGTGTGTCTCAATCAAAAATTCCCCGCTCGCAACCTATTCCGGAGGAGGGATCCGAAGGAAGTGAAGGAGAGGAAAACCGGGAAGAAAGAAAGGAACAGGAGGAACAGGAGGTTGCTCAAAAGGAGGTTGAAAAGGAGGTTGAAAAGGAGCTTCAAAAGGAGCTTCAAAAGGAGCTTGAAAAGCAGTAACAACCCTTTCCCTTCTCTTATGCCCATTCCGGGCACAGCTCTCCTCCAACGGAAACTAGCGAAATCCCATTTGGACTCTTCTTTGCCCATCTCTTAAACCCAGAAAATTTTGTCTTCAATCAAGAATTTTTATTGAAAACAAGAAAGGAGAATCGTTTTTTGAACAGATTTGGAAATCAGATCAGATTTCATTCTTGTATTGTACTGATTTCAAAGCATTCACTCATTCCTAAACACTTTTAAAGTACCGCTTTTACTTTATAAGTCTAGATTTGTGTTTATAGGTTAATAAACAAGCAAAAAATCTTTCTTTTACATTGTTTCTCAAAAAATTTGATCAGAAATGATTCACCTAGCCGATGTAGAGGTCAATAAACAAAAAAAACGTTATAGTGATTAAAAGAGAGCACTTTTTTTGTTTCTGATTCATTGAGGCACTTGTTTTATTGTAATTAGATGATTGTTTTATATTTTAGAATAGTTTTAGAATAGTTTTTGCATCTTTTAACACAAATAGGTATCTAAGAATCATTTTACAATAAAAGTTTAGACTTGAAGTTTGATTTGGGTAGGGTTTAATAGCTGGATTTTGAATGAATGATTGATTAAAGTCATATTTTTAAGCTTTTGTTTTAAAAACAAATTACTAGATTAATCAAATCTCAAAAAGAACTAAATTACTATAGTAATTTACTGGTAAACTAGATATCTAGATATTCTGATTTTAATAGGTTCAAGAAGTTGATTGAATATGACGCAATAGGTACTCAAAAAGTGACAAAGAGATTTCAGGACTAATCCAAATTCTGCCTCTGACACTGGTATCCTCTATAGTAGCAAAGAAAAAAAAACACAGCTCTAAAAGATCAAAACTGGCTAGGGCCTTTTGTCGAGTCGTGGGCTTATTCATCGGAAGCGCGTCCTTTCTCCCATCCATTTCCCTTTTCTTTTCTTCAACCGCTCATTCTAATTGGTTGCCTTTGATTCACGAGAAAACCACTCGATTTTCTTTTTCTTTTTCTCCTTTCTCTTTCCCCCCTTTCCAAAAAACTCCCATTTCATATTCAGCTAATGAAAAATTTGCTTCTCACCGCGAGATTTTCTCGGAATTTTTCCCCGAATTCTCTCCTTTTTTAGGAGATCTTTCCAATATTTTGGAGTTGATTGAAATTTAAAATTTTGATGGAGAATTGTACGAATTTTCTTCCAGATTACTTCGTTATATAAAAGTTTGAACAATTAGGCTTTGACGATTTGAAAGATGGAAGAGCAGGGCTTAGGCTTAAGCTTGAACTGGCTATTCCAAGCCCAGGTTTTTCATGGTTTTTGTCCCTGGCCTTGTCCCAGGCTTAACCTGGTCCTGGTCTAGGTCTAACCTGGTTCTGGCCCAGGCCTGACCTGGTCCTTATTGCTGATTCTCTTGGCTTATCAGCTTTGGTCAGCTCTGGTCAGCTTTGGTCAGCTTTGGTCAGCTTTGATCAGCTTTGGTCAGCTTTGGTCAGCTTTGGTCAGCTCTGGTCAGCTCTGGTCAGCTTTGGTCAGCTTTGGTCAGCTTTGATCAGCTTTGGTCAGCTTTGGTCAGCTTTGGTCAGCTCTGGTCAGCTTTGATCAGCTTTGGTCAGCTTTGGTCAGCTTTGATGAGCATTGGCCAGCTTTGGTCAGCTTTGATGAGCATTGGCCAGCTTTGATCAGCTTTGGTCAGCTTTGGTCAGCTTTGATGAGCATTGGCCAGCTTTGGTCAGCTTTGATGAGCATTGGCCAGCTTTGATTAGCTTTGATCAGCTTTGGTGAGCTTTGGTGAGCATTGGCCAGCTTTGATTAGCTTTGATCAGCTCTGGTCAGCTTTGGTCAGCTCTGGTCAGCTCTGGTCAGCTTTGGCCAGCTTTGGTCAGCTTTGGTCAAGAGTTCAGGCATGAATTGTTAGCTAAAAAAGCCTAATATCTGTCTACAATGCTACAATTTGCAAACGTTAGACAATTTGGTGAAGATTTGTAATCCAAATTTGAACACAAGCTTACAATTAGGTTCAGTTTACCCATTTGAATCGTTTACCCATTTGTTTATCCATAATTGGCCTTTAATCTTTGTGATTTCCAAAATCGGATTAGCTAAACTTACAATTCGATCTAGATCTTTGCCAGCTTTAGTCACTTTTTCAAATTCATTACGGACTTTCCCTAAAATCTCCACCCACCCATAGGCCAACTAACAAGGAAAATGGGAACTGAACTCCAAAAAAACTCGTTGGAAATCACATTTCATCGTGTCCATTTCTCGAAAAATCCCCTATTCAGAGTCGGGTCTCTTTTTTTTCTTTCAAGGGCCTCACCCAACCAAATATGCCCCAGGGAGGCGCCCATTTCACTCGACTCTCCACAACTCCTTTCCCCTTTCCATTCCTTGGAACCTCTCTTTTCTTTTCTAGGAATTGCTTTTTGATTCAGCTCTCATTGAGTGAACAGACAGGAATGTTTTTCTATATTATTCATCTGTATTCTGCTTGTTTTCTTCAAGAATTTTTTGCTCTTGTCTGTTTCCAACTTTTGCTGCTAACAAGTGATACTATTAGACTTTTCAGAAAGTTTTCTTTAAAACAAACAAATGCATCAATTAAACTACTGTTTATTTCATTAAAAAGAATTATTTTTCTGTAAAATAACAATTTCTGGAGCAGGATTTGAATCTGGTAAGAATTTCTGGAAAGTTTAAGAGCTTCAACCCTTCAAAACTTTCCCCTTCAACCCTTCAAAACTTTCTCCGAAGACTTGCTTGACCAAAAACTAAGTTTGTGTACTGAATCAAAAGCTCAAGAAACTGTTCACAAGTATGACAACAAAAGTTAAACCCTGTGCTTAGAATTTGGAGCTCTTTAACTTCTCCTAAAGCTTCTGATGACACTGATGGGCCTGATGAAACTTCTCCCGAAGCTTTTACCCGTTTGCCATCTCCCAATATCTTCTTCTCTTTTCCCAATTCTCTTCCCAATTCTCTTCCCCATTCCCCCTTTTCCCTTGTTTCAACCTCTCGTTTGCCGTCGATTCAATTAACTTTTAATAAGTAGAACCCGCGCCTTTCCCTCTCATTGTCCTTTTCATTCTTCTTCCCCATCTTCGAGAGCCTTGAAAGTGCTTTCAACATTCGGAATTTGGAATTTGAAATCTTTCAAATATCTTTCAAATATATTCTGTCTCCTTGGCCAATTTTGAGGTTATTTATCATTCTTTACTTTATTCACCTATTAGTTGTTTTTATGAGAATTTAAAATTGGACTTAATCACTTATAATCATTTAATCTCTTTGATCTCAGAATCAGCTCGCATTCTTGTTTCCAAAACAAGAGCTGATTTAAAGGATGATAAGATGACTGAAAAATAATATCTATAAATGGCATGGAAAAGAATATTCGTATTCGGGTGAAATTCTCATCGAATTTTGCTGAAGAAAAGAATTGAGAAAGAGGAAAGGAGATGGCCGTTATTAGTGGGTAGCGGTGTGAATTCCGGATGTGCTTTGCATTGAAGTGGAGAAGAAGGGAGCAATGGGAGTGGCTTGTTGAAAGACTAGGGCCATCGACATCGGAAGGGCCGCATATAAAACATTGGCCCACTCTTATTACCCATGCGCAACTCTAGAAACGTTGTTTGAACTGGTTTCAAAGCTTGAATTAGAACCAGACTTAAACCAGAGAAATCAGCAAAAATTTCTCTTTTCTTTAAACTAGAGCAAGCCAAGCCAGGCTAGGCTAGGCTCTGGAATTTGGGTCAGATCAAGGCAAATGATTAGTTTTGACCTAGCCTAGCCTAGCCTAGCCTGGCCTAGATTAGCCTAGCCTAGCCTAGCCTGGCCTAGTCTGACCTAGCCTAGCTTGGCCTAGCCTAGCCTAGCCTGACCTAGCCTAGCCTAGTCTAACCTGGCCTAGCCTAGCCTAACCTAGCCTAGCCTAGTCTGGCCTGGCCTGGCCTAGCTTAGCCTAGCCTAGCTTGGCCTAGCCTATCCTGGCCTAGCTTAGCCTGGCTCATCTACTATAGCCCAGTACTGGCCCTTCTTATGACTTCTTTACGGCTTGATCATAACGAAAGCTCAACTTTTCGATTACTTGAAATCATTGCTTAATTGCTTTGGAGACAAGTTAATAAAATATCCATTTTCTTGATTAAAATCGAATCAAGTTGAAAATTAGCTTAAATCAGGCTCAGAAGTACTCCAAAAACCGCAAGCTAGGGCCAAGTAAGAGCCAAGTAAGGGTCAAGTAAGGCTTTTTTTGAGTTTAAGTTTAACTTGAAGTCTGGAGGAGCCCTGGTTGAACCAAATCGGTTAAATAATGCCTACCAAACCTGGATGTTCATTTGGTAACAGTATATTCATCGCTTATAGTTTGAATAACACTATAAGATATCCCAAGTCAACTCCATCTCTCTCGCCTTTTCCATTATCCATTCACAAGACTCTTATTTCTCTTATTCTTCTCCAATTCTTATTTCTTCTCTCAAGCATTCCCCATCTAGAAGAGAAGAGCCCAAATTACGAACGGCACACCCAGGGCTTCCAATCGACACTCCCTTTCCCATTTTTCCTCTTTTCCTAGGTCCATCCGCCTTCCCGAATTTCATATGACCCATCATTGGCTCTTCTCTTTTCCCTTCAAGACAAACGCTTGTCAACACGGGACTTCTTAAAGATCTTTTTATAGATTCAGTGAATTTCTATTCAAGTTTAGTTTAAGTTTATCTTTTGATTGCTTTGATTGTTTAAAGGGTATAAAGAGTATAAAGGGTATCAAGAGTATCAAATTTAACTTATGAATCTACTGCGATTGGTTTACAAGAGGATTTTGAATGATTTATTGAATGAGTTAGTTGTCCGCTTGCAAATATGACTTGTTACTATGATTTCAGTAATGAAATTCTTTTCAAGTTCAGCTTTCTTTTGATTTATTTGTTTGCTTCAAGACTGGATGAGTCAACCATTTTCCAATATGACTTGTTATCTATGATTTCATCGATTCTATCGATTCGATTCAAGTTTAACTTGAATGAATCTACGTCGTTTGGCTGCTGGATGACTTATTTACTTTTCAATTTAACTTAATACCATTTTTAATATCAGATTTTAAAGTTTATTAACTAAAAGATCATTATTAGAGCTTTTTAACTGTCTCAAAGCTGTCTCAAATGCTCATCAAGCTGCCTCAAATGCTTTATAAATTTTCACAATCGAATAGAATTGAAAGCTTTAAGGGTAAAAAGCTTAAAACTAATCTTATAACAAGAAAAAAAGAACTTTCAAACACTTTAAACCCAAAACTATTTGTGTTTCCGTTTAATCATGAGTTTTCTCGTTCAAACATTGATCTTATTATGATGAATATTGGTCTATTTATCGAAAATTTTACATTCATTACTTTAATTTCAAAGGATTCACATTGAAAAACCAGCTTTTATAGAGAAAAATCTCTCTTTTCTGCACCAAAATTTTCATTTTCGCTTTTTCTCTTTTTCTAATCGTGCGAATGTCAATGATTAAACATCAATCACTTCAAAAACATAAGAAATCAAAAGTTTTTGTTACTGTAAATGATTGGTTTTGAAAAAAAACGACCAAAAAAAAAGAAATTTTCCAGATTCACCCCAATCCGAGTCGTTAGACAGTCCGTGCTTGTCGACAAATCCGTTACAAGAATTGCTAGCAAGTGAGTTAAAAGCTGGTTTATAATAGTAACACTTTCAAAATTCTCTAAACAAACTCATTCCGGCATACTCAATGCTTTTTGTAGCACCGCCGCCTAACTGAGTGCTCCAGAAAGACGTTTTTCCAGTTTTTCCTTAGAAAATTGGGCGTAGTTGAGCGTACTTTTCGCTCAAAATCCTTTAAAAACGCTCAATACACTTCCATTTTTGAGTAAAAAATACTCAGCACTAGATAGCACTAAATAATCTTACTCTTTAACTGTACTTGTTCGACTAATCGTTCTTAAATTCCTTGTTTAGTGGCTGGCCGAGTGAACGGTCTTCCCGGTCGACCGTTGGTCGCTTTATTGGATGGGCGGGATTGCTCGATCGAGATGCCGATTTTGAAAGATGTTGCCACTGTGGCGTTCTGTGATGCACAAAGTACACACGAGATTCATGAAAAGGTAGATTAAAAGTCTATTAAAAGCAGAAAACAAGACAATTGCTATCAGAGTTTTAAGGTGAGCTAAGATAGACCTAAGCTCTGAGCTAAGATAGAGCTAAGATAGAGCTAAGATAGAGCTAAGCTCTGAGCTAAGATAGAGCCAAGCTCTGACTGACCAGGGGAGCCATTTGAAGTTATATTTCAAGATCTAATTCCGAGTTAAGAATCCCTGGTTAAGAGCATCGAAAAACTGCTTTTAGATCCTACTTATCATAAGCCATTTTCGAGATAGAAGCCTTCAAAGTTTGAGCTAATTTCTCGAAACTAGGCTACTTAACGCGTCGCCAAGGTAGCCAGACGTTCTGCATCCGTAGCCTAGTGGATAGTGCGTTAGCATGTCGCTCTCACGGTTCCTGGTTCGGATCCACTCTTGATCAGACTTACTATTTTACTCGAAAATGACTTTTTTTGATCAATAATCTCTTAAAGAATATTAATTTGATGTAAAAGAAAGGTTGAACTTTTGAATAATTGATGAAACAACCACTTTTTATCTTAGTAGAGTTGTTCCAAAGGAATTTTTGAGCCAACAGGGCAACTAACTTAGCTTAGCTGCAGCAGACTTAGCTTCTAAAAGGTCTAGCTATGGTTTATAGCTTGAATAAGGGTCTAGACCTTGTCTGGCCTTGTCTTGTCTGTCCACAGCCTGTTCAAGAATAACATTCAATAGCTAGCCAAGAAAGACGCCAAGACGCCAAGACGCAAAACCTTTAATTCACCATAAGCAAATAAGGGAATAATCACCGAACAACTTATTGGCTTTTGATTAACTTATTCCTGCATACAACCCATAGGCACATTTTGCACAATTTGTTTCCTCTCGAGAAGGCAAAGCCAATTTGGATGCGTCAATTGGTGGTGCCCGTGTCTCTTTGCTTTCTATAGGTCGTTGTGAGTGGGAGCGATTTCTCCTGGGGAAAAGATGGGACACCCCACCCCATGCAACCTAATTGGGCTGTCGATGGGAAATTATGGACACTCCTTCTTCCCTTTTCCCATCCCTTAGCTCAAACCAGCTTCCCCCGCCTTTCTCCTTGCATTTCCTATTCAAAGCCGGGTGTGTTAGGGTGTTACGATTGTAATGATCAAGTGTAAAGTGGAAAATGGGGTTTAAGCAATAGCTTTATCCTATTTTAAAGTTTTAATAAAATATTGATAGGCAAATCTCATAACTAGCAGTTAAATTTTAACTTTGTTTTGAAATAGTTCAAAGTTCAAACTTGAACTCAGTCTGAGCACTATAGCCTCAAGAATTCCGGTCACTTTTTCTCTAGTCCGTAGCTCAGCATAGAGTTAACTAGTCCCTCTAAAACTTTTTTGGTAAAATTTACTGCGTATTTTCAACACTTTACTTCAATACTTTACTCAGAAACTCAAAATTAGCAATTCTATAGGAATTCTAAGCTTCAATCTAAGCTGTTTTCCACTTTTTAAATAGTAATTTTGCTGGATCGGCTTAAAATGGATCTATTCCGATTCGTGATTGGATTCCGATATAAATATGCAATCGAAATGTAAACTAGTCGAGTAAAACTAGCAAGATTGATAAAGTTTGGTGCTTTACGGTTAACGGGAGGCGAGTTTTTGACCATTTTGCCGCCCGATTTTAGATAGGTTTTTGTTAATAACTTTTGATGAAACAAATAGTTTCTGAAAGCTGACACTCTAAGCTATCTAAATCTTATTAAAACTTTCTGATTTGATAAGTTTAAGGTGCTTAAAAGCGAGCTGCAAGTTGACCAAAAAACTTCCCCCCCCCCCTCGATAATCGTTCGACCTCCCGATAACCGTAAAGATCTTAAAATTAGAAAGCTCAAAAGCCAATGGTTAGCAGAAGAAAGATTAAGTTTGTCAGTCAAAGTTCAAAAGATAAAAACTTTGTTAACACTTTGTTCTAGGTTCTAAACGAGGCCGTTGCCGCGCTGATGTGGCATTCGATTCAACTCTCTCGAGAAGATTTGGAGAAATTTCGAGCGCTGAAAATTGTAGTTCGAATAGGCACTGGTGTTGACAATATCGATGTGAAAGCCGCCACTGAGCTTGGTGGGAATTTTAAAGATTTTTGGATTTTGGAGAAGTTTAGACAAACAAAGAAGGGACTTTAGCAAAAAAAGAAAATCAAACAAAACATTTTATAAAGAAGCTCAAGTTACTAGTTAAATTGAGAAAGGAAAACCTTTTTAAAAGCTGATGGAAAATGATAAATCTATTAATAATAGTATTTTTTAGGTATTGCTGTTTGTAACACTCCTGGAGATTGTATCGAGGAAGTGGCTGATTCAACGCTTTGTTTGATTTTAAATTTGTATCGCAAAACGTTCTGGTACGCGAAAGCGATGAATGAGGGAAAAAGGGTAAGCGATTGAAAAATTACAAAAACAAAAAAAACCAAACTTTCAGATTTCAACAGCTGAGCAAGTGCGCGAGGTTGGGGCTGGTGCGCGGCGGATTCGTGATGAAACTCTTGGATTGATAGGTGAGTTAAATTTGCATAATGGTTTAATAGATTCGGCCAAATTTCGAATTTTCATTTACCGCTGGATTGTTCATTTTCATGGTTTTTATTCAAAAATGAATATTTTCCAAAACAACAGTGGAGAATCTTTTTACTTTAGCAGCTTGATTCAAGTTCAAAGCTGTAGGCCTGGAAATGCCAGAGCTGAAAACAAAGGTTATCTGATAAGCCCCGCCCCTTTTTCCATTAGCAACCTAACTTAGAGCTCAAATTTCTTGGTGTTGGGCTGTTTAATTTAAACATTTTGATATCATTAGATGCGCTAAGTCTTTCTCTGTCGATTGGTATAAAAATTATTTAAATCTGACAGTCCAACACCAAGATATTCGGGTTTAAAGTTAAATTCCCAATGGCAAAGGGGGCGTATAAAAGGTCATTGAACATCTGATAAGCCCCGCCCCTTTTGCTAGTCGCAATCCAACTTTGAGCTCAACTGATGTTAGGCTTTCCAATTTAAATAGTTTTTGCACCAATCGACAGAGAAAGACTTGGCGCATCCAATGATACCAAGTACATTTAAATGGGACAACTCAACACCAAGATATTCAAGGTTAAAGTTAAATTGCCAATGGCAAAGGGGGTGGGGCTTATCAGAGGTTCGACAACCTTTACCTTTACCGCCCCTTTGCCATTGGCAATCTGACTTTGAGCTCAAATAACTTGGTGTTAGGCTTTCCAATTTAAATAGTTTTGATACCAATCGACAGAGAAAGACTTGGCGCATCCAATAATACAAAAAACATGTAAATTAAACAGCCCAACACCAAGATATTTGAGCTCAAAGTCGCCAATGGTAAAAGGAGGGCCACAATCAAATGTTCCACAATTGAAAAAGAGAAAGCTGAAGTTAAAACCAAGCCAGATTTCTCTAATTATCAAATCTCTAAATTATCAAGCTAGATCCATCAAATCTAACTTACTAACTAACTTAGAACTAATCTAATAGAACCTTTCCAGGCTGTGGTCGAATCGGCTCAGCTGTTGCGATTAGAGGGAAAGCTTTCGGGATGAAAGTGATCTTCTACGATCCTCATCAACCAGAAGGATATGAAAAAGCTTTAGGCATTGAAAGGTGTTCAAATTTTCCATATAAGACAAATCTGACTGTATCAATTTCAAGTTTTATACATTGAAAATCTTTAGATGCCACTCACTAGACGATCTCTTGTACAAAGCGGATTGCATTTCGTTGCATTGCACACTATTAGAAGAAACACGGCAGATCATCAACGAGCACACAATAAAACAAGTAGGAAAAAATTGAGGGGTTTTATTTGAAATCGATTTTAGATGAAACAAGGGAGTATGATTGTGAATACATCAGCTGCTGGATTGATAAATGAAGCCGATTTGGCGATGGCGTTGAAATCCGGACATCTTCGGGCTGCTGCTTTGGATTGTCACGAGTCAGCTTTTGACTCAAATATTTGTAAGTACTTTAAGTACTAGTTCTTTAAGTACTTTAAGCATTGTACTAGCTCAAAAACAAGTATTTATTCTAATAGAAGCGCATTTTTTTGCTAAAGAATTGGAAACTAAAATATAAAACATCAAAATGTATAAAGTTTTGAGAATTTTTGAAATAAATTATCTTAAATTTGACGAAAAAAACGAAAAATTATCTAGTCTAAGTTCTAAATTTGTTCTAAATAACCTCACTAACTAAATTGCAAGAAAAACTGATCAAAATTGGTACTGCTTATGGAAGATAAATGATAAAGAATACAAGGAAATGCCTTAGGAAAAGGAAAAGGATATCATTAAAGGTTCAAAACTCAGAGGATTCAGTCTACTAAGTTGAATATCTTTAGTTGTTGCTTCTATTAGAGTCTATTGGAGTCTGTGCTTCGATTAGAATCAATACGAGACTAGTTATACATAAGTTTTAGCTCCAATGCTTGCGAATTGCCCAAATTTGATCAACACTCCTCATGCTTCTTGGTATTCTGAGGCTTCATCAAAAGAGCTACGAGTATCAGCGGCAAAAGAGGTAAAGATTGAAACAGAACTTCCCGTAAATACTGTAATAGTACCCCACCGCCCTCGTACAGTCGCGTAGTTGCAAAAGTTTTTTAGTATTTCATTTTTTTCAAAGCGCCCGTACTTTCAAAAAATGCGTCTTTGATACCAAAAAATAGCTGAAATTCAGGGCTATTTTTTGATACGTAAGCGCGCATTGTAGCATAAACCGGTGTCGAGAAAAACTCGTTCAAAGCTAGACTACACAACAGTCCGCACCGTCATTATGGGGGTGGGGTACTATTACAGTATTTATATACGGTATGTAAAAGTAGATTTAAGAGTTTATATTAATAGATTTTGATAACATTTATTTCAAAAAAGCCCTAAAAAGCTATCGTAATCTGAGGAGTACTGTAGCTTTCCCAAGGAGAATTTCTGGAACTATTCAAGCTTTCTGGAGCTATTCAAGAGATAACTATTCAAATTCAATTTAACTAGTCAAATGTACTTCTAGATTCGACGAGCAATCACTGGCCGATCGCCACAAGATTTGACAAACTGTGTGAACAAGGATGAGCTTTTGGCGGCTGCACCTGGACCATCAAATTCGAGAAGAGGAGCCACAGCTACAGCCACTGTTCACGCTCAACCTGGCCCCTCTGGATTCAATCCAGGAGCGCTTGGAGCAATCGGAAACTTTAGTGAGTCGGATATCAGAAAAATTTCGATAAAACTGTAAGATTAGAATAAGATTATTATCTTTATTATCTTTATTATCATTATTATCAAAAATCTAAGAACTTTGACTTTTCAGGCTTTAATGGTCTTCCCCAAATGGGCTCTTTCCCATACGGAAATCCATTGTTGGCGATGACAGCCGGTGGAATGATAAATCCTTTATTGATGGTAAGAAAAAGTCCTCTAGAAATTAATGGGAATTTTTAGAACTCTGGAAATCCGTTGGCACAATTCTCGGCAGCATCCGGTTCACCAGCTACAGCCGCTTTGAGTTCACTTGCAGCCGCGGCTTCAGGTCAAATGCCGAGTAGTCCAGCGAGGGGAAGTCCTAGGCCAAAATCGTCAAACACTCCGAGCATAAAAGTAATTCTATAAACTGAAAGCCATAGATCAACATATCGGTTCCAGGGTGGATCCCCAGCTGTGAACGGAAACAGCTCTGATGCTGGCGGTTCGTCCCCATCTGATGCGCCTACTCCATCCGTTTCCAGTAATACAACAGCTCCAGCTAATGAGGATTTGAAAAAGGTAAAGGTAAGGGTTTTAATAAGAGATTGATAGGCAAATCTTATAAATAACTAGTAGTCAACTTTTGTCGACTTTAACAATGCTTTAAACAGTTCAAAGTTCATTGCTAGTTTTGCCAACAGGTTCAACAACTTTTCACCAGTTGTTTAAGCTTTTCAAAAAGGATTTTGAACTTGAAACAAAGGAATTTCCTTTTGTCCAACTTTGAAAAGCTTAAATTCCATAGATCTTCAGAATCAGCATTGCCATTTGACATCTGCTAAGCCCCGCCCCTTTTGCCATTGACAATCTAACTTTGAGCTCAAATATCTTGGTGTTGGACTGTCAGGTTTAAATAGTTTTTGTACCAATCAATAGAGGATGACTTGGCGCATCCAATGATACAAAGAACATGTAAATTAAACAGCCCAACACCAAGATATTTGAGGTCAAAGTTAGATCGCTAATGGCAAAGGGGCGGGGCGCGTATAAAAGGTTGACGGACGCTAAGCCCCGCCCCTTTTTTAAGTTTTTCAGACATACAATCTTTGCCTTGAAACATGTAATTGATTATTGAAATAAAATAAAGTCATTCTTGTACTCAAACAAACCTCAACCATTTCAGGAAGAGCCAAGCGTGAATGGCTCAGACTCCGGTGCTCTCGAGATCGACTCAAGTTGAGCGGAAACTTTCAAAAGCAATACGATTTCCCGGTCATTGACGTTACTATTTCTTTACTAAAATTCATTGGTGCAATCCTTTCATCTATTTTTGTATTTTTTGTAAACTTTCTCCACGACAACGATCTCTCAAAAGGTTCATATTCATCAAAAAATCCATTTTCCCTTTGTTTTCTCTAGGATTTTCAGTATTTCTGCACGGTATTTGACTTTCTTTTTTGGTAATACTATTGATTTTGTTTATTTTAAATCAAAAACAAAGCACATAAATAAGGAGAGTAAAGAAAAATACATAGCAACCATCGAGATACCATAATTTTTAGAAGAAAACATGACGATGAAGTTACCAGGCGAGATTTCTGAAAAAAAAAACTATTATAATAAGTTTTAGTTAGCTTATAGCTATGCTAAAAGGGTAAATCTAGCCTAAAGATCTAGTTTGTTCAAAGAAATTTGATAATTTGGTATTATTGGGTTGGGGAGAATGAGTCGGCGCCAAACTTTAAAGGGACTTTTTGCACACATAAAGCCTTCTTTAAACATACGTTTGGTTTCATCAAAAGGATCCACTATTTCTCTACAAAATCACTTTTGAGAGATTCCACAAAGCTTTTCTTTCGTGGAGTTTATGGACTCCCAAACACAGCTAGTCAAAATGGCAAAGAGCCCGACTCATCATTTGAACAGTTTCTTTCACATAAACCTTCTTTGGTGCTTATATAAAAAAGATAGAGCACATTCAATTACTTAAGTTGCCAAATTTGCAGGAAGATCCCACCAATGGTTTTTTCTAGATCACAGTTTGTAGTTTTTGTGAAAAAATGGTTTTTTCTTGAGCGGAGGCGCTGTTTGAATTTTCTTTTAAATGTCATTTTGTAGAGAATTAGTTAACCATTCTACTGATATCAAAAGCATATTATTTGACGAAGTCTGCTAGAAGTTTTAGATATTTTTTTGATTTTCGGCGCCGACTCATTCTCCCCAACCCAATATTAGGAACATGAATAAGAAATGCGGATTTCAACATTTCCATAAATTTCCAACGATAGAAATCTGATGTTATAAACTAGAATCGATGAATTTTATATACTATTTAAAAGTTGTAAATCTCCTCTACAAAATCCGGCTAAAACGTGTTTCAATTGATCGAAGCATTGAAGAAATCTCGAGGGCGAAATGCGAGTGACCAAAAAAGGAATCGAGTCACTTTAGGGACAGGTTTAGTGTGCTCAAAATAGAGTCAGCTTCCCAAAATTGAAGCTTTTAAAAAAGGATCTATATCTTAATTCATTAAGAAAGTCTAACGGAAATGTATTTACAGAAATTTAGATAGAGCGTAAGTTCAAAACCCTCAAAATTGTCAAAAAAACCGGCTTTTTCACAAAAAAGAAAAATTATTGTAAAAACAAAGTTTTCCCATGAAATGATCCCAACTCTTAATTCTTTTGAATGATATTATTTGGAATGATATTTAGGGCGGTCATTTTCCACTATATAGTCAAAACCGAACTCTTGTGAAAACGGGGTTTTCAAAAAGTGCCCTTTTTTGGTCACTCGCATTTCACCCTCGAAATTTCTTCAATGGCTCGATCAATTGATCAATTTTTAATGAATTCAAATATAGTTATCCTTTCTTTTTGTTTAAATCTTCAATTTTGGGAAGCTAACTCTATTTTGAGCACACTAAACTTGTCCCTAAAGTGACTCGATTCCTTTTTTGGTCACTCGCATTTCGCCCTCGAAATTTCTTCAATGACTCGATCAATTGAAAAACGTTTTAGCCTATTTTGTAGAGGAGATTTAAAACTTTAGTTTAGATACAACTCAAATAGTTTATAACATTCATCGATTCTAGTTTATAATCATCAGGTTTCTATCGTTGGAAATTAATGAAAATGTTGAAATTCGCATTTCTCATGCATGTACCTAATAATTTAGCACAAATTTGGTACTTTTAAGCTATGCCTCATTTTAAAACAGATCTTAAAACAGAAACAGATCGTTTAAAAACAGAAATTACTTAAGCTATGGCTTTTAAAATCAAGTAAATGAGATGAAATGAAAACTATAGAATGCAGAAGATCGTTTTATAGACCTAAACTTCTTGAAAATCTGTCTTTCCAAGGGAATAACCGGTAAAAGTGCTCAAAACGCAAAATTACGCAAAATTTGACTGTACCTGGCCTCTCTTCGGCGGAAATTCGTGACCAAATTTTGTAAATACGTCGGTTTCACATCTCCGTCAATGCTGAAATGAAAATGATTGAGAAAAAAAGTTGATTTAAGACAATTATGCCCAAAAAGCTTAAACCAGAAATTAAGTTGAAAATAAAAACGATAAAATCATCTGTAAAAGAATTTTCTGGAATCCTGAACATTTACTGAACAGCAATGGATACTTTTTGAATGTTAAAAGATCGTAAATATTCTAGAAATGGATACTTTTTGTATCTTAAAGTATCGTAAATGCTCTAATAGAACGCCAGCCTCAAAATCATGGGGTATAGTCGCGTAGTCTAACTTTGAACGTCCCGTGCTTTGCGCTGCTTTAAGCTACAGTCTAAGCTTTGGTGTCAAACGATAGCCCTTGAAATCTAGTATTTCTTGATACCAAAAGCGTAGCTGGAAAAAGTCTAGGAGCTGAGAAATAAACGATTTTCTAAGAAGAAGTTCGACTACACGACTGGACGAGTGGGTGGCGTTCTATTAGAGTATTTATGGTGGTAAAAGATCGTAAATATTCTAGAAATGGATACTTTTTGAATCTTAAAGTATCGCAAATGCTCTAATAGAACGCCAGCCTCAAAATCATGGGGTATAGTCGCGTAGTCTAACTTTGAACGTCCTGTGCTTTGCGCTGCTTTAAGCTATAGTCTAAGCTTTGGTGTCAAACGATAGCCCTTGAAATCTAGTATTTCTTGATACCAAAAGCGTAGCTGGAAAAAGTCTAGGAGCTGACAGAGAAACGATTTACTAAAAAGAAGTTAGACTACACGACTGGACGAGCGGGGTAGCGTTCTATTAGAGTATTTATAGTATGGAAACTTTAACAAATTAACATATTCTCACAAATTAGCAAAAAGAAACTGACTTGACAACCGCATGTAGCTCGGGTCTATTGTGTCGATGTCGCTTTGAACTTGTTGTGCCTGTTGAACCCAATTGGACGATCGGTCTCGCGTTCCAGATAATATCCGTGTTCTTGTCCAAGTCAGCTGAAAAATTGTGAATTTAGAAAAGTTCTGTGTGAGTCAGAATTTACGATATTTCTCATTCTGAAGTCTCGACACAATTCCAAAGCTCGTCGCCACGTTTCTGTCCAAAATATAGGATAACTCGATGTCGTCATCGTCTAATCCGAATGGTCTCATCAAATCTTGTCCAACCTAAATGAGAACTTAAGCATTGTATTTAGAAATTGTGTTTAGAAATTGTATTTATATATTCTCTTCAATATTTATAAGGACTTTTAAGCTCGCTGGTCGTTTTGCGCTCTCAAAATTTGTTTATGGGGGTTCCTATTTGCGCAGCTCAAAACCTGCTTCCACATTTCTCGATCCCTTGTTATTGTCATCCGTGCTACGCGCTTAGGTATCAAAAACTACCCCGGAATTTCAGGGCTATTTTTTGATACCTAAACGCGCATTGTAGCATAAACCAGTGTCGAGAAAAACGCGTTCAAAGCTAGACTACGCGGCACTCCGCACCGTCATTATGGGGGTGGGGTACTATTACAGTATTTACGGTAGTAATCTTCACGATAAATATTAACCACCATGTAAATGCTTTCCTACATAAATCCACTTACTTTATACCATCCGATGAAGAAGATGAACTTGATGACGGAAATCACGGGAATCACAAGGTCGAGATCCTAAATTTTGAAGATTTTTAGGTTTCAACGCTAGCTCAGATGCCAAACTATTAGGAAAAAATAATACACGCTTTGAATCTTGCATTGGGAATTTAAATTGACTTCAACCCAATACTCACAACTCGTGATATTGACTAGAAGTCAAGCGACAGCCATTTACATCAATTCGGAAAACATTTATTGTGGAAATTTGCTGGGAAAATGCGTCCCGCACGAATTAACTCAAGACAATAAAAGAACTCATGTCAACGGCTCATTTTTGCTCCATAAATGTAAAGCTGGTGGTTTTTGAGATTCGATTTTGATATCTGATGAAATTTGGATGAATTACGAGAATGTTAAAAGGAAGAACAAATGGCTATCTACTCAAAAACCCTCTTAAACCTGAAAGAAAATAATATTCTGTTGCTGGTGGGACTCAAAAGGGTTTGGTGCACTAGGAACTCATAGTAAATGTATCTATCTATCTAGGCCTAAGCCTAAGCCTAAAAATTTGCTAGGATACTCCCCTAGGGTTCCAATGAGCATCGCCAAACGAGTATCCCTTAGCTCTGGGAACTGGCCGAGATCCAGAAAATGCGGGCTGAGCTCAAACCCAAATAGACCTAGTGCAAGACGCTAACCACAGCTTTGCACTAAGCCTAAGCCTAAGCTATTAGGTTGGTGCAAAAGAAATTTCGGTCGATATAAAATGTTCTTATTTTTTTAATCTGAAGAGCTTATTTGATGTTCTTTTGTGCATTTGTACTCTTGGATATTTACTTTATTTTCGCATTTTTTCAAAGTCAGAGCTTTCACTTTTTAATTGATTTTTGCTTTAGATCATGGTGGATCAAAAGTATGTTCTGCGCACGTGTCTTCTCTATGACTTCAAAATGGGCAAAAACGCTGCTGATTCACATCGTGATCTCTGTTCCGCCTTTGGAGAACAGGTTATCACCGAAAGATCATGCCAGCTCTGGTTTGCCCAATTCCGAGATGGTAATGAATCCCTTGAAGACGAATCGCATGGACATCGTGCCACAGCCATCGACAACAATGAATTGAAGCTGATCCAATGCAAACAACACGAGAACTTGCCAAACATCTCCAATTCAACAATTGTACGCCATTTGGAAATAATTGGAAAGACAAATCGTAATGGACAATGGGTTCCACATCAATTGAGTGTTGAGAATCTGGGACACGCGTTCCGATCAGCCATATCTTGCTCCAGAAGTCGAAAAGAAGCCATTTTTTTAGAATATCTTGACGATGGATGAGAAGTGGATTCACTTTGATAATACTTCTCGAAAAAGACAATGGCTGAGCAAAGGTCAAGCGCCAATTCCAACTCCAAAGCCGGATTATCATGGGCGCAAAAGTGATGTTGTCTTGCTGGTGGAATATCAATGGACTTGTTCATTTTGAATTATTAGAGCCCGGAAAAACAGTCGATTCATCTTATTTTATTCAAACAACTCAAGAAGGTTGACGAAATTTTGCGTGAAAAAGGCCTAAATCCCTCAACTATCAACTTTCTCCGTGATAATGCTCCAGCTCACACGGCAAAAACCTCTTGTAAGGAACTAGAGAAGCTAGGATGGAAGGTCTTACCACATGCGCCGTATAGTCCAGACTTAGCACCCTCCGATTTTCACCTTTTCAGATCGATGCAACATTCCCTTGAGAATTGCCAGTTTAAGAATGCAAAAGAAGTCGAAAATTGGGTGACCAACTACTTTGCATCACAGAATCAAGCGTTCTTTGAGAAGGGGATCCGCAATCTGTAGCAACGTTGGAGGGATGTCATAGATAATAATGGTGCTTATTGTTTTAAATAAATTGTTATCAAAAACAATTTTGGATGACTTTAATGTTTGTAAAAAAACGAAATTTCATTTGCACCAACCTAGTAATCCAGGAGAAAACATTGCTAATCAAAATGCAATAAATTGTTACAATGCATTTGTTTCTTCAATATCATCAAAACTGACCTTTCCCTCAACGAATTGATCTCCAAACAAACATAGGAAGAAATAAGCGTAAGTGGCTAGAGAAGTTACCTTAAAAACTAGGAATTCATAGGTAGATAGCTACAGCTTTTATTTTATCAATTTGATTTTACCTGTGTGTACACCAATGGCACGCAAACCCAATCGAAGCAATAGAGCTCGCGCAGTGATTCACGAAGAGCCGCCAATTCTAAAGAAAAGTTGAAAAAAAGTTTGTTTTCCGTTTTACCGTGATAGAAAGTGTGCACGTGATGAGCGTTTGGCTTGTTGTCCTGAATTTTGATTCAAAATGAGTAACGGTTTTGGACTACCTTGTCCTCATCCTCCATGATCTGTTGTGCCCAGTGGAGTGGGGTCAGCCAGCGAACGCTTGGCACATCAGCCTAAAGTTCTTGATCGTATAAAAGCTGATCGTATAGGTTTAAACAGCTTGAATTTATCGATGAACCTGTATTGGCACTATTCACTACTCAAAACCACAACTGGATCGGAATCGAATCAGAACTGGATCGGAACCGAAACAGAACTGAATCAGAACTGAATCAGAACCGAATCAGAATTGAATCAGAACCGAATCAGAACCGAATCAGAATCGAATCAGAATCGAATCAGAACTGAATCAGAACCGAATCAGAACTGGATCGGAACCGAATCAGAACTGAATCAGAACTGAATCAGAACCGAATCAGAACTGAATCAGAACCGAATCAGAACTGAATCAGAATCGAATCAGAACTGAATCAGAACCGAATCAGAACTGGATCGGAACCGAATCAGAACTGAATCAGAGCCGAATCAGAACCGAATCAGAACCGAATCAGAACCGAATCAGAATCGAATCAGAACCAAACCGGAGAGCTTTCATCAGATCCAGTCTATTTCACAACTTGATGAAACTTGATTCTTGTACTAACTACTAACTCCTGAAACCAGACGTTAAACCAAACGTTAAACCATCTCTAAAACTCACATGTTTCTCTTCAATAATATTGTACTCTTCTTCTGTCATCAATCCCGCTTTCACCAAATCAATCACCGTTGGGAAACGATGACGAAGCTTTGGGGAAACGTCTCTCCTGCAAATTATTGTTAGCTAAAAGTTTTATTTTCATTATTTCTATATTATTAGGTTGGAGAGAATGAAATGGCGTCGAAAATCAAAGAAAACTCTAGAAACTCTTCTAAACTTCTTCAAATGATACGCGTTTGATATCAATAGAAAGGCTAACTAATTCTCTACAAAATGACATTTAAAAGAGAACTCAAACAGCGCCACAGCTCAACAAAAAGCCATTTTTCATTAAAATCTATAAACTGTTATCTAGAGAAAACGGTTGGAGGGATTTTCCTGAAAATTTGGCAACTTATGTAATTAAGTGTGCTCTATCTTTTTTCATTTATACACCAAAGAAGGTTTATGTGGAAGAAACTGTTCAAATGATGAGTCGAACTCTTTATCATTTTGACTAGCTGTATTTGGGAGTCTCTAAGCTAAACAAAGCAAAACAAACAAACTAAGCTAAACATAAACTCAACAAAAGAAAAGCTTTGGAAACTCTGGAATCTCTTAAAAGTCATTTTGTAGAGAAATAATGGATCTTTTTGATAAAACGAAACGTTTATTTAAAGAAGGCTTTATGCGTCCAAAAAGTGGCTAATTTTGGCGCCATTTCATTCTCTTCAACTCAATATTTCTATATTATAAACTCTACCAAGCCAATGCAGCCGACAAATTGACATATCGAGCAATAGTATGCCTTCTCTTTTGACTCCTTTCATCAGTCTTCGGGATAACGACGCAAAGTGGAGCCATAATATCTTCAGGCCATTTAAGGCATTTGAATTGATGCCACCATCTGAAAGTTTTGATTTTTAGATGTTCTTATATAGATGAACCATCTATATAAGAAGCTTTCTTTTAAACTTTCTTTTAAACTCTCTTTTAAACTTTCTTTTAAACTCTCTTTTAAACTCTCTAAACTCTCTTTTAAACTCTCTAAACTTTCTTTTAAACCTTCTTTTAAACTTTCTTTTAAACTCTCTTTTAAACTCTCTTTTAAACTCTCTTTTAAATTCTCTTTTAAACTCTCTTTTAAACTTTCTTTCAAACTCTTCTCTTATTTTTCTTACCAATGTAGCCTAAAACCCCTGCAGTTTCAATCTATTAGACTTTTCTTTTGAATCCTTAATCACATTTTTTACTTTCTCATCCTAGATTCGGTATCAATTCCAGCAAAAAAAGCGCATTGATGTGATAAATCAAGGTCAAAATTTTGCGAAATTGATAAAAAACGGATATTTTCCCATTTGATTCACAAAGTAAAGAAAAACTTTGCTATAAGAGGCGTACGAAAGGCTTTACCTGTCAACCACATTGTGCACGTAGAAACCAAGCAGGAAAGTCAATGGAATCGCATGAGTGTATTCGTAAAACATATGACACAACTCACCGAATTCATGTCTAAAACCAAAAAGTTGTTTAAGTGTTCACCTTAATGAGGAAATGGGATCAAAACATTGACTTAAAAAGCGCATTAGTTAGGGACAAGACAATGTACGTAAAATTGTAGCTAACAGAATAAAGATAACAGATTTCTCTTTTCTAAAATTGTTTTCTTTTTTGCTTTTTGATGTTTTAACATCAAAAGACTCAGCCTTTTCGAATTAGGCCAACTTATTGGGTTAGTGGAAAAATCCATTCCAATTTTTTGGGAGAGTACCTTAAATTTGTCGAATTTTGACGTTTTATAGTTCATCCTAAAGCTGAATTCAAGATGGATCGTTTGGTAAAAACCGTTTTGAGATATCTCTTTTCTAAAAGTTTTTACAGCTATTTTAGTAAAGGGCGGCCAGAGCCAAAAAATGGCTGTTTTCACGTTTCGTTAGTTTTCCGTGCAGAAACCTAGGCTAAAAACATGTGTTTCGTGATCGGCGTCAAAAATAACGGTTTTTACCAAACGATCCATCTTGAATTCAGCTTTAGGATGAGCTATAAAACGTCAAAATTCGACAAATTTAAGGTACTCTCCCAAAAAATCGGAAAGGACTTTTCCATCAACCCAATAGTTACAATTCTTCTTGTAAGAATACTGATTATCACGCTACACTTATTCATTTGAATTATTCACTCAGCCTTTTCGAATTAGGCCAACTTATTGGGTTAGTGGAAAAATCCATTCCAATTTTTTGCGAGAGTACCTTAAATTTGTCCAATTTTGACGTTTTATAGCTCATCCTAAAGCTGAATTCAAGACGGATCGATTGGTAAAAACCGTTTTGAGATATCTCTTTTCTAAAAGTTTTTACAGCTATTTTAGTAAGGAGCGTAATAATAAGGAAGTGAAGGAATTGGCGAAAAGTAGAGAGGAAAGGAGAGGAGATCGAGCCCTTGACCTCTTGCTTTTTAAGCCAATTGCTAACCACTCAGCTATCCGGTACCTTAACTTGTCAAGAGAAAGACGAAAAGATAAGGGGGAAAAAGGAGAAAGAAAAAAAGAAGCAAATCACTTGTTCAAATCACTCAAAACTAACTGAATCCCATTTTCCGGATCAAGAATGTCAGCCAGTGCTAGACCAGGTTTAAGTATTGGGTTGGTGGAAAAGTCCGATCATACAGAGTGTCCCAAAAGTTCTGGCACAACTTTTTGTGAAAGCAATTAGCAAATGACAAATTTTATCTAGCCTTAAAGCTATTTGAACGATAATTGAGCCGATATTTATACGATATTGCGTCGAAAGTCACAATGTTATCGCACAACTCACAACAAAAGTCACAAATAAACCCTTTCAAAACCCTTAATTGAAAGCTAACCCATTTAAGAACTGGTAAAAATGCTTTTCAAGACATAACAAAGAAAAGAGTGTTTTAAGAATCTTTTACACAAAGTTTGAAAAGATTTTTGAGAACTCGGAAAACGCAAAGCAAAAGTTTCAAAAAGGAATTGAACACGAGCAAAAGATCAATCACCGTTGGGAAACAATGACGAAGCTTTGGGGTTGTGACTTTCGTTAGTTCTGTACGCAAGCCTTTCACCCACTACACCATCAAGTCAATTTAAGACCCGTGAACCCTTATAAAGGCATCCCTATTCGGCACTTTTCACATTTTCACCCTTGCACTTAAAACACGTATAACTTTTTCTAGAAAGCCATGTTGCAAAAGCGAAAAACAGATTCGGAATTGGCGTGAAATTCTGCGTCGAATGGTCTATCAATTGACTACATATTACTGTTGCCTTTCCTTTGTCAGTTTGAAAAAAACCAGAACGACTGAGAAAACTCACTTCATATGAGCGGCATGATCGCCGAAGATCAAATCGATTCCGATCCTGTACCAGACTCTGAAAAAAAATGATTATGATAATTAGATCATAGAAATTGACTCACCTAATGGCATAATACATGACAAGATAAATAAGAAGTTCCCTCCAAACCGCTTTCCAAATTGATCCCCTCCATCGCGTTAGCACCTGGAAGAAATTGCCCGAGTAGGAGATGGTCATCTAGAAAATTGGGATAGATTAAAGTAAAGTTGTAGTCAAAAATTGTAGAAGAGTAGTAGAAAAGTAGAATTGTAATTGTGCGCAAAGCTGCAGTAAATCAAAATCAAATGAAATGAAAGGCTTTTGCTTTAAAAAAAGAATGTCAATGAGTAAAACTGGTTTTTTTAAGTAAAATTGAGTTTTTTAAAGTAAAACTGGTTTTTTTAAGTAAAACTGGGTTTTTTTTTGAAGAAAAACTGTGTTTTCAGAATGATTATTGCCAAATAGCGTCAAAAACCTTAAAAAAAGATTTAAAATAAACCTAATTCAAATCTAAAGTGAGCCGGGGAGAGAGAAAAAAGAGAAATGATGAATTCTTTTCTTGAGGAAACTCCGGTTGACCTTGAACTGAATGTTTTCCCCATCGAAAAGGTGTTTTTCAAACTAAATTTCAAAGAAACTACTCTAAAATGTAATAAAAAATGATAAAATCAAATCAAATCAAAAGTAAAGAAGTAAAAAAATGAAGATTTAGTGATTTCCAGCTTTTTCTGAGTGGAAATAGAGAGAATTGAAGTAAAGAAAAGAGTAAAAAGCTTGTCACAGCGTTTAATTCAAATCCTGAAACGCTTTCCGTTTGATAATATCAACTAAATCGAAAAAGAAACAGAATTTTATGTCTTTAGAAGCTTTAAAGTGAAAATGGTAGAAAAGATTTTCAAAAAAACTTATCGAAAAGTCACTCGGACAGAGAAATGGCTGCTTATTAGCCCAAAAAGAAACCAAAAAGATCTAAAGAGAACCAAAAAAAGAAACAAGACAAGGGAAATTGTTATGGAAACGAAAAATATTTAGTCAAAAGTCGATGGAAAAACGAAATTAGATCTTTTGTCGATGAGTCAACTTGGGCAAGCTTCATTCAATCAACGAACAATCAGAGAAAAACTTTAAAGCAACTCTAAAGCTACTCTAAAGCTACTTTAAAGCTACTCTAAAGCTACTCTAAAGCTACTTTAAAGCTACTCTAAAGCAATTCTAAAGCTACTTTAAAGCTACACTAAAGCAACTTTAAAGCTACTTTAAAGCTACACTAAAGCAACTTTAAAGCAACTCTAAAGCAACTCTAAAACAACTCTAAAGCAACTCTAAAGCTAGTTTAAAGCCACACTAAAGCAACTTTAAAGCAACTTTAAAGCAACTCTAAAGCAACTTTAAAGCAACTCTAAAGCAACTTTAAAGCAACTCTAAAGCAACTTTAAAGCAACTCTAAAGCAACTTTAAAGCAACTCTAAAGCAACTTTAAAGCAACTCTAAAGCAACTCTAAAGCTACTTTAAAGCCACACTAAAGCAACTTTAAAGCTACTTTAAAGCAACTACTTCTTCAGAAAACTGCTCTTTTAGTCAATAACAGACAAATCTTTATTTAATCATAGAGATAATAGCCATAAGATTTTCTATTTTTGATTTTTGTGGATAAAAGCCAAGAGCTAAAAAAGCTACCAGACCAAGGTCTGATCTATATATATGTCAGACCTTTAAAGCTTGACATTAGCTTAAACTTGTGTTAAGTTGAAGAAGAAGAAGAAAAAGAAAAGAAAAGAAAAAAAAAGAAAAGAAAAGAAAAGAAAAGAAAAGAAAAGAAAAGAAAAGAAAAGAAAAGAAAAGAAAAGAAAAGAAAAGAAAAGAAAAGAAAAGAAAAAGAAAAGAAACAAATTTAAAAGTTGAATATTGATTTAAAAAACGAAAAGCACTATTTATTTTCAGATTTTCTGTAAACTAAATGAGCATATTTTAAAGAAATTTCGATTATTAAGTAAATAAGAAGTAAAGTAAAGTAAATAAGTAAATAAGATATGAGCTTATACAGTTGTTACAGTCAAACATGAGCTTATACAGTTGACAGCAGTGAAAGCAGTTTTGATAACTGGTATAGTACTAGCAAAAAGCGTATTTAGAGATTTTTCAAGAATAGAGAATCAAAAAAATTGAGATTTTTTCAAGTCAAATCCACACCCAAAACCTTTTTCATGGTAGGTTTTGGGATTGGGGGGAAAATCGCGAGAAATCCCTCTCAAGGACATTCAACCCCGGTAAGCCTAATGTAAAGGAATTTGGGAAACAGAAAAAAAAGGAATTTGAAAAGAAAAGTGTGAGTAATTTGATGGAAATTGCATTGACAGCAGTTCTACAAGAGTTCATCGTGTGATTTTAACTTTATTCCATTGATGAAAGGTTTAGAATCTCTATACCATGGTAACTATTACTACTAACTATTACCGTATTTTCTCTAATAGTAGTACACCCCGTCGAGCCGAGTTAATGGCTATTTTACGGCTTCCAAAGTTTTCCCAGAAGCTCAACACTCAAATCCCCCACTAGATCTCATCGTCAGCTACATTTTCCGACCCCACATCGATAGGTTCTGATAACCGGTTCTCGAGATTTCGAGGAATTTAGGCGAAGCTTAAGGTGCACTACTATTAGAGAGGATATGATATTACTATTACTATTACTAGTAACTATTGGGTTGGGGAGAATGAGTCGGCGCCAAACTTTAAAGGGACTTTTTGTACACATAAAGCCTTCTTTAAACATACGTTTGGTTTCATCAAAAGGATCCACTATTTCTCTACAAAATCACTTTTGAGAGATTCCACAAAGCTTTTCTTTCGTGGAGTTTATGAACTTCCAAACGCAGCTGGTTAAAATAGCAAAGAGTCCGACTCATCATTTGAACAGTTTCTTTCACATAAACCTTCTTTGGTGTTTATATAAAAAAGATAGAGCACATTCAATTACTTAAGTTGCCAAATTTGCAGGAAGATCCCACCAATGCTTTTTTCTAGATCACAGTTTGTAGTTTTTGTGAAAAAATGGCTTTTCCTTGAGCGGAGGCGCTGTTTGAATTTTCTTTTAAATGTCATTTTGTAGAGAATTAGTTAACCATTCTACTGATATCAAAAGCATATTATTTGACGAAGTCGAATAGAAGTTTTAGACATTTTTTTCATTTTCGGCGCCGACTCATTCTCCCCAACCCAATATTATTAGTAATAGAGTCTTTTATAGTTGTTTGAACATAAAAACAAAAAAAAGTTGGACGGTGAGTCAAAAAAAGACCAAGTTAGCTAGATAGGTAGACCTGGAACAGGCCAAAATCAATCTAAAATCAATCGCTCAGTTCACCTGGCCTTAAGCCAGCTGACAATGGTTCTCCTATTACTTTGCTTATCTCAAAAAAACAATCTCAAAAGCATTAGAAAGGAAATTTACAACAAAATGGATGTATTACGATGTGGAAACGAAAATCTTCACTAAAATCAATCGCTCAGTTAGTCACTGTCTATTCACAGTCTATTCACTGACTGAGTGAGTAACCCTGAGCCATTCATTCATCCACAAATCAGCAACAGTAATCCATTTCGAAACTAGGTTATCCAAAAATGTAGCTAAACTAGATAAACTTTCGAAGCTCTCAAATTCCGCTTCAAAATCAAACTCAATCAAAACTCAAGCTTCAAAATTTCGACTTTGATTTCAAAGAGCCTTAAAAAGTTGCTCCGAATCTAGGTTTTAATGAAATTTTTAGTAAAACACATAAAATTAAGCCTTGGACACAAGAGACTTTTAAAAATCTACGCTCAAAAATCTACGTGCAAGATCTACGCTCAAAAATCTACGCTAGAAAAACTACGCTTAAAAATCTACGCGCAAGATCTACACTCAAAAATCTACGCTAGAAAATCTACACTCAAAAATCTACACTCAAAAATCTACACTCAAAAATCTACACTCAAAAATCTACGCTAGAAAATCTACGCTTAAAAATCTACGCGCAAGATCTACACTCAAAAATCCACGCTAGAAAATCTACACTCAAAAATCTACGCTAGAAAATCTACACTCAAAAATCTACAGTCAAAAATCTACGCTCAAAACTCTACGCTCAAAAATCTACGCGCAAGATCTACACTCAAAAATCTACGCTAGAAAATCTACACTCAAAAATCTACACTCAAAAATCTACGCTAGAAAATCTACGCTTAAAAATCTACGCGCAAGATCTACACTCAAAAATCCACGCTAGAAAATCTACACTCAAAAATCTACACTCAAAAATCTACGCTTAAAAATCTACGCTAGAAAATCTACACTCAAAAATCTACGCTAGAAAATCTACGCTTAAAAATCTACGCTAGAAAATCTACGCTTAAAAATCTACGCTAGAAAATCTACGCTTAAAAATCTACGCTAGAAAATCTACGCTTAAAAATCTACGCTAGAAAATCTACGCTTAAAAATCTACGCTAGAAAATCTACGCTTAAAAATCTACGCTAGAAAATCTACGCTTAAAAATCTACGCTAGAAAATCTACGCTTAAAAATCTACGCGCAAGATCTACACTCAAAAATCTACGCTAGAAAATCTACACTCAAAAATCTACACTCAAAAATCTACGCTAGAAAATCTACGCTTAAAACTCTACGCTCAAAAATCTACGCGCAAGATCTACACTCAAAAATCTACGCTAGAAAATCTACACTCAAAAATCTACACTCAAAAATCTACGCTAGAAAATCTACGCTTAAAACTCTACGCTCAAAAATCTACGCGCAAGATCTACACTCAAAAATCTACGCTAGAAAATCTACACTCAAAAATCTACGCTCAAAACTCTACACTCAAAAATCTACGCTCAAAAATCTACGCTTAAAAATCTACGCGCAAGATCTACACTCAAAAATCTACGCTTAAAACTCTACGCTCAAAAATCCACGCTCAAAAATTAAACGCTTTTTTTACGTCAAATCATAAATCACGGGTCTGATCGGGTGGTTTTTAATGAGAAAAATTTTTGAGTTCTTTTCTCAGGGGGAATTCCGAGTGAAAACACAGAAAAAGGGTTTTCTTGTCAATGAAATTAACTGAATGATGTAATTTGCGGAGATCTTTGAGATCATTTAGCGTTTTTTTCGTACGTTTTTAATAATAATACTTTATTCAAACGATAAAGTGAAA